GCTTTCGTCTGTAAAATGCCAATTCTACAGCTCCAATGAGACTGCTTCTCTATGACCATTCCCAAAGTGTGATTGAAGCAATTAGTTCCCCACAGAACTTTGCTGTCATGACAGCATCCAATTGCCAAATATTAACAAAAGTAAAAACGAAAATCGTGCCCAATGAATACGGGAAATAGCTGGCACTGTAAGGCAGTCAGCAAGGCTTTATGGTTACCTAAAAAGGAAACACACCTTTAAATAGGCAAGCACTTTCAGTTTGCGGGATTAGATGTTCTTCTATTTACCTGTTTGGTTAAATGAATTAATTAACAATTCAGAATGAAAATATTGCCATTTTGTGCTGCAGGATAGAAATTATTTTACGAATTTGCACAATTCTTATGTGAAAATTTGCCCACAAATAGGTCCCATGTTGTCGCAGAATGCAGACACTAGGTGTCTTCAATTTGTAGTAATCCGTAGGAGTTTGAAAGAGGGTGGGAGGAATGTGGTCATAGTGCCATGCTCTCAGGCAGTCGATCAGGCTGCGCAGATTCCACAGCTCATATATCCACTGGCATGGCACAGAGGTTAGCCCATTTGGCCAAAGTACACTAGCAAAGACGCAAAAAAGCTGAAACAGAATTCGGAAGAATTCCTTCCCGAATCAAGTTCATGCTGGGTCCTCCTTGGGGGTACGGGCATGACCGGGCACCAGCTCACCATGTTGCCTCCCCCATTGGGTAAGCAACACAGCACTTTGGAAGAAGATCGCATTACCCTCGAAAGGCAATTGCAGGTAGTCTTTATCGTCAAGCTCGTTTTGCTAGGCTTATGACAATTGTTGGTTCTTTAGAATTCCTCCATTGCTTTACAATGCGTGAAAGCGTGTTGGCGTTCTAATTACTTGCTTCCTTCTCAACAATGTGGTGATTCGCTTTAAGCGGGTACCGCGATGAAGCGAAATGTGATGTAGCACTCGTGAACATGCAAGTCGGCATGTTATTCACACAAATGGAAAAGTCGCATGCGAGTGATTTTCAACGGCACGAAATGTGTGAGCAATAAAGCATGCTTCTCAGGAATGGTTGTCATAAATCCTTGTCATTGCGCAGTCACCTCGAAGCCACTTCAAGTCAATGAAGTCCTCCAATGTGCTCAGTAGCAAAATGGCATATAAAAGCTGCGGTGGGTCAGTGATCCTCAGAATTCCCTCAAATGTGGAACGCGTATCGTGTGACTGCAGTGCTTCTTTGCTTCATAGCGTTCAGTATGTTTCCTATTCTTATTCATGCGCACAATGACTTTATTCTCTGTCCCACTATCACTAATTTACCCTACTTATTTACATTCTTTCCTGTGAAAACTTGAGTAGCTATAAGGTGTAGGATCTCGAAAGCTGACTGAATAATAGTGAAAGTTATTGTAAAGAACAAAAGGCTCGTGTAGTCAGTCGGTAAAACAGATGCCATCATGGCATAATAGGAGTTGAACAATCAAATGTACCATTCACTTCCCCATATTTTGTAAGGATTAACGGACGCGAGTGCAATCGATGAATCCAATGATGTTGCCAATGACGAGGGGAGAAGAAAGGGAACAGCCGAAAGTTCACCGGACATTGGTGCAGTTAATTCGAAGTTCAACACCGAAAAAGAGAGCAAAGTTGTAGAAATTCGGATTGTGACAACGGAGTCTGCGCCC